TGATAACAACCGAATCCTTTTCCTAAAAAAAAAGTAAGATCTACTCACTTCTCTTCTTTTTTGACGTAAAGCCAGAAGCGTACTCGTCAAGTTCGTAAACTCTGTACCTGCAATAGAGCGAGGGAAGCTAACCAGACAGGTGTGTCCGGCTGCAGAGTGCACAACTCAGCTACCGTACAACACCGTAGTCGACGCCACTTTTTCAAAATTTTTGCGGGGAGCTTTGATGCATTCGCGTATTCAAATAGAATCATGGTTTTACTTTGCTAGAAATGTTCGCACATTGATGTGCACCATCTCTCCATATGCTCATAGGTTTACGCACACTAACTTCCCAGCTCATCACTCAATCAGTCGATGTTTTTGTTAGTGATGACACGTAGCAGCTCCAAGCTTGAAAATGAGTGGAAACATTGAAAAATGCCAGAAAGTTAGTAGAACAATGCTCAAGCGCGATGTGTTAAATACTTGCTGTATGTCATGCTTTTGAACTGATTCGGATAGTTGTTTTCTGAAAACTCACCCATACAATCGTTTTGACGAGACAAACTTGTGATAATAAGAATCCCGTGCCAACTTACATTGTTGTGGTTGTACCCTGGTGCTTAAGGGTATTCATCCATTTATCTTCTTCGTGTATGATGTTTTCAGTGATGCTGGTGTTTTATCACCCGTCGCTCTCGGTCCATCCCCTCCCGCGCAACTATTTTTTTCACTGACACTAGAGTACCGTTAAAGCAATCACTGCGAGCTAGACCCACTCGAATGGATATAAACATACTCGAGAAGCATATTGTAAATTATATGTCTCATGAATTGCTCTACAGACTCTTACTTCCAGCACACCGGAGCTGACGTGACTCTCACCTACATATTTAGCTCAAATCTGTACAAGAATCTCGCTCACCATTTTGGCAAGAGACAGAATCGGGGTGCAAGGATGATTGGCTTCCACACATGAAAAAGACGATCGCTAACACATTCATTAAATAGTCAGCGAAACAACCAGAACAGTAACAACATATTAGGGAAAACACGTTCACAGCACAATGAAACACAAAGAAATTCTTCATACTCTAACATTTCAACCGTAACACCTAATAAGGCGGTACTGACGCGATTAAACAGCTGATGCGAGTGGGTTTTCACGAACAACATAACATAAGTTCTGGTACAGTTTTTGACAAAAAGAGATTTGCAGAAATAAGATCGGTATACAAAAAGAGATTTGCAGAAATAAGAGTGGTATGCCAAACAAGCAAGGCTAGAACCCCATCAAGCTGTTCAAGTTGAACCGATATATGTACTCCGTTTACGGAAGGTTAGTGAATTCGAACAGTTGCGCAATCTGTCTAGGAAAAAGAACACCAACGATCGCTATCCAGTGACTATGGAGTAGTGCTGCTAGGATCATTACGAAAGGAAACCTAGAATAGCAATGGCTCATTAGCAGTTTATGTGTGAACTTTCCACATTGCAATAATCTGTCAGTAAAAAGTGGCACGGACCATCAACGATGGAGCTAGTGGTGCTTTCAGAGATTATCACCCTAACATTCTCGCTTTCTCCCAGTGGAATTCACTGTGCACGCAAAAGCAATACTGATGCTCCGCTTAGGAACGATATTAACCTGGCAAACTCTCTGTTACACCCAAGTGCTGTATTTGCTAGCATAACAACACTCACTGAATACCCCAAGGTATCCATTGAGAAACAAAAAGCAAGCCCAACAACACCTTCCACTAATTAGGCCCACTCACTACTTCAAGACTGGAAGAGGAATCCTAATGAAGTGTTTCCAAAATACCCCAGTGTAAAAGAGAGGCCAAGAGGACGAGAAACGAAATAAAACATCGCAAATTATACAAGCATACCTTATCCCTCTCAGAGGCTGCATCGTGAATATCAACCATAGTAGCATTATCGGAATTGAGGTCCACATTGATTTCTTCAGTGCGCTGCTGTAACATAACCAGATTGACACTGAATAATAAAAGATCGGTTGTTAGTGAACTCGCTCGATTTTGGCTGATAAAATACCTGTTTTCACGTTGGACAATAATCGCTGCCACAAAGCGGGGGAAAGATTTCCTCTTGTAAAGCATTTATACAATGTGGCTTCCACAGTTTCGAGGAAAACGTGTAGATCTGAATAGTGAGATAACTTACGAATCGTTTGTCGTTGGCGATCTTTTCACTGCTGCTGGGACCATGAGGACAGACGTCAACGAAAAAATCGTTGGCTGCATCACATCGTGGTGGCTGTGGAGGTGGAAGCTCTTCATTGTCATTCACGGGCTCCTCCTCCAGTCCATCAAGCGGATTTTTGAACACCGCTTTCCCAGCCAACATGGCCAACTGAAAACAATCTTTTTAGATGACCTGGTTTTGTGAAGTTTAATGAAAGGATGTTTAACACAATCACTGAATCGATTCGATGCAACAAAAGGAAGAACCTGGGAAGTTAGTGTGCGTAAACCTATGAGCATATGGAGAGATGGTGCACATCAATGTGCGAACATTTCTAGCAAAGTAAAACCATGATTCTATTTGAATACGCGAATGCATCAAAGCTCCCCGCAAAAATTTTGAAAAAGTGGCGTCGACTACGGTGTTGTACGGTAGCTGAGTTGTGGTGCATTACACTCTGCAGCCGGACACACCTGTCTGGTTAGCTTCCCTCGGGGGAGAGGGGCAGACCACGCGGCAGCGGTGGCCTTGTCCGGCTTCCTCTGCAAGGCTTAGTCCTCGTTGCTACTGTATTTACG